CCCACTCTGCAGAATCTGTTAGTTCAATCTCTAACGTTCTGCTCTCTCTGCTTTTTCTCATAGTAGCTTCATCTGTTCCTGTTTGGCTGTGACTCCATCCTGGAAAGAAATATCAGCTGTGCTGCTGCCATCAACACCTTTGTTTCTAGATGTTGGAGTTTGGCCTGTTTTCCAGTGTAGTCCAGTTTCTCTGACTGTGACTAACTGGATGTGCTCTCTTCATCCTCTGACATGGGAGCTGACTGTGTGTTTCCTGGACGGGGCCGCCTTTTACAGTTGCCTTTCTATGCTTCTTTTTCTATGTCTGCTTCTGTCTCCTTGAACCCCAGTCGGCCTCAGCAGATGGCCGCTCACACAGAGCCTGGTTCTGCTGGTGATTTCTTCCTGTTAAAAGGGATTTTTTCTCTCTACTGTCGCTACAAGCATGCTTAGTGTGAGGGATTGCTGAAGAGTTGCTGAGTCGATGCAATCAGCTGGTTTTCCTTAGATAGAAAACTTTGAATCAATCTGGCTGTATGATCTAGTGAATTGTAAAGTGCCTTCAGATGATGTGTTTTGAATTGGTGCTATAGAAATAAACTGAAATGAATTGAATGTACACATTACAGATATGCCTGTTTGGCCCAAACTGGGGTACAATCAAGCAGTCAAACATGTTTCCTCAAAACCATCGCAGCACCAAATGATATGTACCTCTCCAAGCAGGTCTCATAGTTGACAGTGGCCTTGAACCCATATATGGAAAATGTGACAATAGCGGAGAAGATGGAGGTTCCACTGTTGATAAAAGAGACAATGATGGCTTGACGCTCAAAGTTGTTGTGGTACTGGTTGTAGCTGGCAAAGGCAATGAGCGACCCAAAGCCCAAACCCAGGGAGAAAAAGATCTGAGTGGCTGCATTGATCCAAGTGGTAGGATTGGCAAGTTCTTCCATCTAGAAGCAGACAGAGGCAAATAGATAATCAGCAAACCTCCACTGGTCTTAGTCCACAGGTCTCTGAGGATATTCCTGCAGTCAATCAAAGCTCACCTTAGGTGTGAACATGTATTTGACACCATTCAAAGCTCCATGAAGAGTCATCCCTCGGATCAAGTAGATCAACATGACAACGTATGGAAATGTTGCAGTGAAGTAGACAACCTACCAAAACCAAACAGCATTACAAACCTAAACCAAGGATCACAACACCACAGTGAACTCCAGTATATGAGCAACTATACAACACATTATCACTTTATTGGGTCTGTAAATGAGGAAGCTTTCTTACCTTTCCAGTCGACTTTATGCCCCGGACGATGAATAGATAAGTTATCACCCATGCAAGCAGGAAGCAGAGTGCCTGGCCCATATGAAGGCCTCCATTCTCCTCAATAGAGGGCGAGATGTTAAGGGTCTCTCTGTAGAAGAAATACTGAGTGGGTGTTGCTTTTTCACACTCTTCTAAAGGTCCGGTCAGGTTGGAATTGGCAGGGCAGACTGCCCAGGGCAAGACTGACTGCATGAAGAAGAAACACAAAGGAGCAGGAAGTGAGCAAAATAGCCAAAGTATCACATGTCATCAGGATCTTTGGTTATGATTTTATCACATTTTCTCATGAAAAAAGAAACTAGTTATAAAATAAAAATAACAAAGAAAAGGCGTTTTAGCAAACAAAATATATCTTTACTGATTTAAATGTATGCAGTTTTGACAACAATTTAATGTGTTCACTATTTAAGGAACTTTGTGTTCTATTTTCTTGATTAAAGAACTTTTAAGTTAGTTGACATCTTAGTTTGAGAAATTAAAACATCAACTGTACTTAGGTAAAATTTATGGAGAACCACTTCTGCCATCTATAGAAATACACCCAAAATAAAATAAATGAGCATGTAAAAATTTCAGGGCCAAAATGCAGCTAGATGTATAATGTCAAAAAATGAGAGAAAGTAATAAAAAGAAGATGCAACAATTGAGAAAGAAAAAATTAAATATTTTTTTTTTATCTCTAACTATTGTAATTACCACTGTGCTTATCTGTAATTGAAACCACTCATTTTGATACATGATTTTTTTTTCTTAAACTTGAACAAAAATTAAGTTTAAAATATAATAAAAGTATAAAGATGAATCAAATTGTGCATGACCTTCAGATGGAAACACGGCTGGTGATGCATGAGGAAACTTAAAAAGTAGAAAAAAAGAAAATGTGAATTAGATGTGCTTCCATTCAGAAGAGCAAACTAATACCAAAGCCATGGGGGATTTATCATTAGGCAATACTAGGCAGTTGCCAAGGGCCCCAAGTTCCTGGGGGCCTCATAAAACTATGTTAACATGTATGGTTAACACAGCTATTCCTTAGTTGTGCACTTTAATTATGTTTTTGATAAAAAAAATCCTTTCGCTAAAAGGACAGCAGCAAACCATTTGAAAAAAAATTATGCAAAGAGCGACTTTTCAGGCTCCTCTAGCACTTTCATTTCAAAAAAGGGCCTAGTGCCAAATCTAGCGACTTTTTTCTGCTACTGGAGACTTTGGCGACTACATTCATAGGGCCCCCTGCCTGTCTTTGCCTAGGGCCCCAAATTTCCTAAATCCTCCCCTGTCCAAAGCTAATGTCGTCATTAGTTGACGTCACTCTTTATTATATAGAGTAGAAAAGTAGGAAGTAGAGTTAGCAAGCCCAGATCAGTGATGGACTAAGGTTTTAATAACTGCTGAATCAGCAGGTATTAGTAATGGTTCAAACCATCGAGAGAAATGTGACTCTTATGCTGCGTTTAGGTGCCAGTGGCAGAGAAACCAGCTCATAAGCCATGTGGGCTAAATATTCAGAACTTATTTGAAAAACATGTTTCCATTTTCCCTTTAGTGAACTTCTGAAAATCTGTTTTTGAAGATAACACAACTGGGATACATTAGAGGGGTAAACATCTCCGTATTTAAAGTTTAAAAGGACCGTACAATGATTTGAAAAGTAAATACTGTTGACATAAAAACGTATATTTGGTGGTGAAAAAAAAACACAAAAGAAGAAAAAAACTGAGGAAAATTCTACAAAAATCACGAATTTAGTAAAGGAAAAATAAGTCACTGATTTTTTTTTCCATAAGCAAATAAACTTTTCTTTTAATCTCTGCATGTATTCCTAATTATTCCACTGTTTGTCTGTCTTATTGGTGCACTGTTGATACATAACATTTAAAACTAGAGAAAAAGGTGGCAAATAAAACTGATATTTAAATGTTTACAACATGATGTGCTGTACAGATGTTACCATCAGCAGACATGAAAAACTAGAACATCTAAGAAGCTTACTTGAAATGAGTGAAAGAGGTACCAGAAACTCCAAGCATTGATAATGTTGTAATAGAGACACAAGTACAAAGATGTCACAACGCTGGCAAGGCCTGAAAAAGATATGAGAGGAGATTCCATGTTAAAAATCTACCGACTGTGCATTAGAGTTAACATCATCAAATAATCAGTTTGTAGCCAAGACTCTCACCAACTCCTCCTAAATATGGGCTTATAGCAGTCCACGCCCCGATGCTGCCTAAACGCATCTTCTGACCAATGGCGAGCTCCAGGTAGAACAAAGGCACGCCCTCCAGGACCAGCATGATGAGATATGGTATCAAGAATCCCCCTGGAAGCAGAAATAAATGACTTAGACTGAAAAACAGGTGGACTCTCATTGCCAAAAACAGGCG